AGGTCGCCTTTTTTTTTTATTTTCTCAGAACGCGAAACCCGCAGACCAGATTTCAGATCGGCATACGATAAAATAGGTGTACAGAGAGGTGACATAGAGCAACACAGTACAGGTGAGTTATTCATAATTAGTGGACATTCCAGCATATGAAAATCGTGGAAGCGAACCAGTCTGATTGTCTGACCGACGGATCTATTCGCTGGAACGGCAGTGTCCCGGGCGCACTGTACAGTACAGGCCAAGTGGTACGGGCTGTGTCAAGCAATATTCGAGCCCGCGAAATATTCGTGTTCATTGTATTACTTTGTAGTATGTTATTAGTTTGATTCATCTCGACCTGAACAGCGCAATGTGCTTTGATTACTGTCGACTCACTGACAGTACCCGTTTACAACTAAAAAAAATCCGTCAAGATATCGGGCAACACAACATCTTGCGCTAAACTATCCGACTGTTTGCTACCATTTTGAAACAAAACTGAGAGATCCTGGAAAACCAGTTAGAAGGGATTTGCTTTACTCTAATGTACTCTTATGGTTAACTCCTAATTCCACACATACAAAATGACCCAAAATTCATTTTTGGGCAGTTTACAATTGATTCCTTTGACAGGAACATCCCATCATATCTGAAAAATATGTTCATTGACCTATGTTGAAAAAAATCATATGTAGTCTCAAGGGGGGGGGGGGCAACGTATGGTTGTCGCAAAATATGGGAAATTCTGTCGAATAGTATTGGTTATTAATGGAATAATGCTTTTTCATAGATTCCTATGGAAAATATTCAACAATTGCCCATTTTGAATTCTTTTGCATATATTTTCTTGAAAATATGACAGAAACTCAAAATTTGGTTTGGTGAACATCGTTGAAAAATCCAGGCTTGATATTAAAAATTTTACTTGGAAGCCGGTAAACTGGAAAACTGGTAGCCCATAGTAATTTTTAGTAGCCAACATTTGTGGTTCAAGTCATAAACAGATGTGACTAACTGTCAATACTCATTTCATGAATGATATCCAGTTTGTTGTTCTATACTTTGTTTTGATGATAAATTCTAGTTTTATAAATTTCTTGTAGTCCTATTGGGCTACTAATGTTCAACAATGGTGGCCCCTGGAAAAGAACTGGTAGCCTGTGTGCCTTAGGCTACTGTTAATTTTTAGCCTTGAAAATTTTATGTACCGGTAGTATTGGTAGTCAAGTAAAATAAATGTAGTGGCCACCTGGCTACCAAGAAAATATTTGTCGTGGCCAGTCTGAAAATGTGATTGCCACAGCTACTTAGAGGGCTGCTTTAGTGTTCTCAAATCACTAATGAACCAATCACATTCATAGTGGTCAGTTTAAATAGCAAGTATTGACCAACTATTTTTCCTGTTTTTTTTCTCAAGTAAACCTTGTTTGCAGGCATAACTGTCACAAGTTGGAACTAAAATGTCATTTTTATTTGTCTGCAGTAGTTGATCAACTGTTTTGGTGTGTAGTGATGTGTGGCTGGTTTTTAAGTGATGTTTTTTTCTTGGATTTTTTTGGTGCTTATGGAGCAGGTGTTTCTCATTCAAGATTTTGTGAAATTTTGAGCTGGACAATATGTGTTTTACTCTCAAATGGTCAGTTAATCACACAGAAAGCTATAAATTTAGGCAATAATTTGTAACATTACTTGCAATTATAACATAGAAATCTCTAATCTTAACATTGTCGTCTGTGGTGAATGAATTAATAGTCTGAGACTTGCATATTGTAGACAGTGTTTTCATTTTGTAACCCACAAAATGAGAAAAAAAAATATTGTTTTTTTTTATTGCATGCCTTTTAGGGAGGGGGGTATCCTCTAAAACAATACATTTGTCAGAGAATTGGCCAGAATGTTGAGTTCAAGCATAAAATCTGTATAAATGTTAGTAATGAAACTCGGGTATTTCTCGCACCAAATCCACCGCGAGATATTTCGTTTTACGCACAATGGAGGACGTGGATAACCGGACATGAGCTCCGGTGCGAATCTCCCAATTTCATAAATCGTATTCGAATCTCAGGCTAGCTAATTTGGCGTGGTGAGAAGCATACAGGCATTTATACCGCCTGGGGGAACGAACAACTGACTTGTCAAATAAAAATAAATACAAATGTAAGTGTTAAACAAATAATTCATTCAATATAAGGATGCCATAACAACAATTTCTAAACGTTACAAAATATGTGCCTCACAGAAAACATGCGGCAATGTCAATCCCACAAAAAGAGTCCACTCAGATCTGTCCAAGTTTAATCTTCGGCAATCGCCACATCAAACTGTCGAACGTCGTAAACATGTCCGGTACCTCGTCGGCTCTGCCTCGCAGGTTTGGCTGCAATGCGATCCGCAAAGCGTTCTTGGTGTCTTCTGGGTTATTTTTCTGATCCGCAGGAAATCGAATATGTGCTTCTAACGGGTGTGCTACGTGCATTTACGCCGACTTGGTGCTCTCCGAAACACGTTCGTGTTCACGGTTCCAACACAATCCCGTTTTCGGCTGCTGCCATCTTTGTCTGTCCTGCACCTTCTTCTCTTGCGCGCCGAGTGGCGTGACATCATGGGACGCACCAATCAGTGAAGCGCGTCTCAACAGGCGTCAATCATGAGACCAAAACTTTTCCATGACGTCACAAATACGGGTTACCATAATAAATAACGCACGGGCCCGTAGTAACAAGAAATATAAAGAAAACTACATAGATTTAAAGAAACAGTAAAATTACCCTGGTTTCAGTAACAAGTGTAAATGTGTACCTCCCTAAAATGTGAAATATCCCTATTCTAAAACACAGGCTCCAGATTGTGAGTCATTATAGGCTTGTAATAAGGAGAGGTACCTATAGCTCTGTCACATGTTTGCTGAAATTATTGGTTCATTTGATTTTCTAATCGTTTACTAATTTGTTTTATTCCCTTAGGTTTCAGCATGCCTAATTTAGGCTCTGTGATCTCTCCAACACGTGAAAAGTACAATGTCATGCTTGATATTTTGTCTAAGCAAAAAGTCTTGACAGACTTACCAAAGGGGCCAATCAGAATGAGTGTTTACAAACACTTCACAAAGCTGACCATGGCTACACTGTTGATATACAATTTATCCTTTGACTGGGAAACACTGAACTGATT